TGTGTGTGTGTGTGTGCAGCCCTTGGCGATGAGGTGGCCCTTTGCCGAGAATGACTTTGGGCTGTTCCTCTGCAAGCTGGTTCCCTTTGTGCAGAAAGCTTCAGCCGGCATCACCGTCCTCAGCCTGTGTGCTCTGAGTGTGGACAGGTAATACAAATTTTACTATGCTGATGATCGTCTTGATGCATTCTCAATCATCCAGGAAAGTAAATCTCCAAAAGTTGATTCTGTTCATCTGGACGTAGCGTTTTGTGGGAGAAACGTTTCGTCACTCATCCAAGTGACTTCATCAGTCTCAGCTGACTGCAGGTTTCCTCAACATTATAAACAATACATTACAATAACTATACATTATTATTACATTATTATAAACAATACATTTGCATAATGACTGAAACCAGCCCACTGAAGGAACACTGGGCTGATGGTTGTATCCAGATATGCCCTTTATCAAAAATATCTACATGTCTAAAAAAACAGACTCTGTCATCAGCCTCTAGTCTTAGTCTTAAACCTCAAATAGTGGCGCTTGTTGTTTTAAAAAGGCTACTGTTTGTCAAAGCTGCTGTAGTCTAAAGAGACCAGCATGGCCTTGTGATGCTTGTATGCAGAGCTGGAGTAAATTCAAAATCCACATTTTGAATGATGATTTCATTCATTGAGGGAAAAAATCCAAACTTACCTACCTAGTAAAAAAACCACACAAAAAACCCTATTAATCGTCCACCCTTGTTAAATCACAAATTAACTGTGATTATCCAAATATTTTGGAAGCTCAGTTTAATTTTTACCAGTCACACCCAGGTCTGATTACTGCCAGACCAGCTGAATTAAGAAATCACTTAAATAGAACCTGTCTGATAAAGTCAAGCAGGCAAAAAGATATCAAAAGACAGCACATCATGCTACAGTCTAAAGAGACAGCTGAGAAACAAAGTCAGTGACATCGGTCAATCTGAAAAGGGTTAAAAAGTGATTTCTAAGGGTTTTTGGACTCAACTGGACCACACTGAAGGCAATTATCCACAAATAGAGAAAACTTGGAACATTGACGACTCGTCGAGGAGGTTACAAAATAGTCCAGAACAACATCCAAAGAACTGCAGGCCTCACATGCCTCAGTTAAGGTCAAAGTTTATGATTCAACAATAAAGAAACTGGGCAAAAATGGCATCCATTGGAGAGTCCAGCAGAAAGCCCCTGCTGACCAAAAACAACAAAAAGCCTTCTACATTCTAATGATCGCCAAAACCTTTGGGAAAATATTCTGTGACCTGACGAGGCGAAATCTTTTGGAAGGTTTGAGTTACATCTGGCATAAAACTAACTTCACAACTTGCCATAATAGATGGAAACATGAATTCTGCTTTCTACCAGAAAATACTGAATACTAGGAGACAAGTAAACTTGGGTTAAGTGCACCTCAAAAAATAAATAAAAAGAAGAAGAAGGAGAGGTTTTTGGGGTGGTTTAGTCAAAGATTAGATTGAGATGTGTTGACATGACCTTAAACCTTCATGTGACCAAATTAAACCAATTCTAGAAAGAACAGTGGGCCAGAGTTCCTGTACAGTGATTAGAAAGACTCATTGCCAGTTATCTAGCTAATTTTGTTGCCAACAGAGGCCCAACCAGTTATGATGTTTAGGAGGGCTGGGTAGGTTTGGATTACTTTCATCCTTATAAATTAAATCATCATTTAAAAGCTGAATTTTGCATTTGCTCTGGTATCTTTGTCAAACATTAAAATTGGTTTGATGATGTGAGACATGTAAGTGTGAGAAATATGCAAAAAACTAAGAAATCAGGAGGTTTATCTACTTTCTAAGTGTGAAAATATGAAAAGGAAACAAGATCAGCATCAGATTAGATTTAAATCTGTCATTGTGCTAAAACTATGTGTGAAACTAACATTTATGGAATGAATATTTTTCATGAACATTAACAGAAGACGTATTTTTCAAACTGTTCCACCTTACTTCCAGGTACCGAGCTGTGGCATCCTGGTCACGGGTGCAGGGCACGGGTCTCCCCACGGTAACAGCGGTGGAGATTATGGTGATCTGGGTGCTGTCGGTGGTGCTGGCTGTGCCGGATGCTGTCACCTTCACTATGGTCCCTTCCACATACAACAACCATAGCTTCAATGTCTGCATGTTGTCACACAGAAACACACCCTTCCTGAAAGTGAGTCTGCACTCTGAGAGCTTGCGTATGTGGGCGTGTGTGTGTTTATGGGAACATCTGATAAATATTTAACCCTCAAAACTGACTAGTGGCTGCTACAACAGTTTCTTCACATCCTCCACAGCTCTCACGTGTCTCTTAATAGTTTTTTCACCTGTAAGGAAGCTTTTTTAAGTGGTATGTCAAATAGAAAATTGAAGGTAAAACAATAAGAGAATGAGAGAATGAGCTGGTAGGGAGTGGTAAAGATTTATCAATTCTTAGCTATCCCAGCTATGCCAGAGTATCCTTGGGAAACATACTGAACCAGAGGCACCAGTGTGAGTGTTTGCACAAACATTAGACATGGCACTTTGGTACTTTGTGCTACAGTTTAACAGATATCAGGTAAAAGCAAGAAGCCGTGTGTCAGGTTTGATCATGATGCCACTTTAAGATGAATGGTCTCCATGGACGGGAAATAAGTGGCCACTTTCGTCCATTTCCATGGACTCGTGGTTTTTACGTCTCTGGGCGAGGCCTCTTTAACTCAGACGTTTAGGACAACATTTCCTGTTTATGTCTCCAGGTCATGAGTAGCACAAACAAACAGCACAGGCACTTGAATCTGAACCTGGGTCAGCTGACCTGCTATCAGTCTTTGGACTGAATCGGTGTTGTGTTTGCATATTAAAACTGAATCTTTGACGTAAAAAAGCAGCTGGGTTCAAGTACAAGCTACCAGCTCCAAACACAGATCACAATCATGGTCATAAACAAAAAGCAAAGTTTAGAAAGACGAACATGTTCACATGGGCTTATTAAAGGATAATGTGGGTTTATTTTAACCCAGTTCATTTCCCATTAGTGTGGCTGTGGGCTTGGTTCACTCTAATGTTGCACTCTCCTACATGGAAAAGTTTTGATTCATGATGGTAATGCCAGCTTCCTGCAGCATTCAAGGAACATGGATTAATTAATGAGTCATTTCCAACATGTTTTGGATCAGACACAGAAGGGAGCTGAAATCAAATCACCAGCATATTTATCCACACACACTAATTTGATTTATCAGACAGCTGGTGTTTGTTGTGCTCCTCCTTTTCCTGAATCTCTGGAAAACAAGTGCAAAGTTAGTATAACCAACAGAAAACCAAACACACCCTCGCAAACTGTCAGTCTATTTAATTTCCCATCTCTTCCTCCAACATGTCAATGCACCATGTCAGTGATTGCTGTTTCAACCCCTCCACCTACACCAACATCCAGCTGCCAATTACAGTATGCTGCAGATTTTCAGGAGCCTATCACAGTAGACTTAGGGTGAGAGGTGGTGTACACCTGGACAGGAGGCCAGAAAATCATGGTGCCAACACAGAGAGACAGACAACTGTTCACACTCATATGCATACCTACAGCCAATTTGGAATCATCAGTTAACCTACCAAGCACATCTATGTACAGTCAGGAGAGATTTACGCAAGGAGGGGGGGTTAAATTGCTGACATAAAGGTCCCAGCTGAACTCAAATCCAGGATCAATTTTATATAGTATACAGAACCGCAAACAATACCCTTTATAATGTAAGATAAAAAGCCTCAGAGCCGACACATGCCCCCTTGAGGCCCATATGGAGGCCCAAAAGGACAGCAGCTATGGGGCCCACGTGTTTTCTTTGGACAAGCCCATAGTGGATATGTCTATAGAAAACCCAAAGGGGCTAAACTGCTGTCGACTCTGTGTATGTGCACTCATTTGAGGATCACGGGAGATAAACGTGGGTTTGTCCTGCCCACACTGCTGCAGTCTGTGGATTTTACAGACTGTGTGGAGAGTGAAACTGAGGATCCAGATGCAGATGTGTGGAGGCAGTTAGAATTAAACAGAAAAACCCCCACCTTTATTGGCAGATAAATATTGTGCAAAATCCATAAACAAAGTAAAAAAAAAAGGACACATAACTGTCAAAATAAAGCAGGAAGTGAAATCTAAATAGCAGCATGCAGAAACAAATTAACGTAATACTGGGAAACTAACAGGAGAGGATGGAACAAATACACCGAGGGTAACTAAACTGTAATACAACCAGAAACTAAGAATGAGACTAAACACTCTAAAGAAAACACATGAAGAAAATTTAAACAAAAAGCAAAATCAGAAACAAGCAGAATACTTAAATAAACAAAACTTGAAAGCCCCCAAACTCAAAAACACTGGGTCAGTGACCCCGGACGAGGCCATGCAGGGGCTCATTTACCCACAGCTACCCATGGTGGGCCAACACGGGCGCGTTTATGGGGAACAACCAGACAGTTGCCTGTGAGGAGGGTTTTATGACGGGTAACCATCTGCTGAGAGAAAAAACGAGAGCACAGAGAGATGGGTATAAAACACCTGCAGGATGCTATGTAGTAAAGCTGTTTCAGGTCTGTGCTGCATGTGTCAGCTGTTGGCTCTAGAGCACTGTGATGTGAACCAACAGATTCTAGAAAGATTTTACATCCAGAAAAAATCTGTGAATACAGGCTAGCATTGAAATATGGTCACTCGTGTCTCCAAAAACAAGACGATGGTGGCCAGAATGTTAAAGCTGAAGTTTCCAAAACCAACATTACTGTGTCCATCCTTTATGTACAGTCTGTGGGTGTAATGTGGTTGTCTCTGTGTTTTTCAGCACTACATCGAAGCCAAGGACTGGTGGTTTTTTGGTTTCTACTTCTGCATCCCTCTGGCCTGCTCAGCCATTTTCTACAGCCTCATGACCTGCGAGATGATCCAACACGAGAAAGAAAGTCTGAAGATCTCGCTGACCGAGCACCTCAAGCAGGTGATCACCAACACTGAAAAAAAAGGCTGTTTATCTTTAACACACAAACAAGCTTCTTATGCAAAGTCCTCTCTGCAGCGGAGAGAAGTCGCTAAGGTCGTGTTCTGCCTGGTGTTGATCTTCGCCTTGTGCTGGTTTCCTCTCCATCTGGGTCGCCTGCTGAAGAAGATCATCTATGATCGAGACCTCAGTGAGCAGCGATGTGAACTCCTGAAGTAGGCCAACCATCATGCACTGCTGGGAAAACAAAGCTTTTTCTGTTTGTTTTTTTCTGGCTGTTTACACGTGTCTACATTTTCTAGTTTCCTGCTGGTCCTCGACTACATCGGCATCAACATGGCCACCATCAACTCCTGCATCAATCCCATAATCCTCTTCTTTGTGTCCAAGAAGTTCAAAAACTGCTTCAAGGTAAACACTGAACATGGCTGCGCTGTGTGAGAGCGAGTTTTTAATCTAGACTGCCAAGAATCTGCTTGTTTCTGTGCCAGCGTAGCATCGCAGCAAGGTCACGGGGTCAAAGGGCGTGAGATAGATATAACAGAGAAACAGAAACTTATCAGATGCTCCCAGAATGGAATTATCTAGAGGACAGAATGAGAGGGGAGATGTATAAACATGGAAAGGTCGTGACCTATGATAGGAGACTTATGGGAAGTTAGTTCTGTAGGGTTAAAGAGGCACTCCACCGAATTAGCACATAAAGAGGTGTGAGTGAGGTCATGTTAACAATCCATTAAATTTTAGCTCACATCCACCAACACCTTCAAGGTCAACTCAACGAATTAATGGTTGAATTAAAGCCTTAACTTAAGAACTATGATCCCTACACGTGTGGTGTGTATGCAAAACATACAGGAGAAAATACCCTATAAAGACTTAAAATATCATGCCACATTTGACCACTGACCTCCTCTTCAAGGTCAATAGATTGATCTGAAGGTCAAGCTGATGATAATGCTATATCAGGATACTAAAGGTGCTGAGGTGGTTCTCTGCTCTTTCAACAATGTGTCTCCTGTGAGTCGCTGAAAGAGGTACGCCTTTAACCTGACTCCCCTCTGTCTGTCTGTCTGTCTCTCTGCAGTCCTGTCTGTGCTGCTGGTGTTACTCTGGCTCTCTCTCTAACAGCATGCTGCCTCTCCACCACGGGACGAGCCTGCAGTACAAACACACTGACCACTGAGCGAGCAGGACACTCGCCTGCATCTGCAGCTCTGAGCGCTGAACCAGCAGCCACACAGAGACACTGACTGTGTGTGAAATACAGCACAGAGTACACCAGCGCTTTCATGTGTAGTCTTTACCTTTATTAGTGCATTTATTCAATTCTGTATTATATTATGTGTATTATATGTGATATAGTTATACTATGTGTCAGACCTTATAGCTGCAGTGTAGTGACGTTTAAATGTTTAGTGACAAGTTCGAGTTCCTTCGAAAAAAAGAAAAGAAAAGGTTTTCCTCAAACCCTGAGCTCCGAATTCAACCTCATCCAACATCTTTGGGATGAATTGGAAAGCCAAATGAGCCGGACCTCATCACCCACGGTCTGTGTTGGGCCTCTTGTGGCTAAACAAAGTATTACATTAATTATGATAACGTAAATAATGTGTTTTTGTGCCCTTTAACTTTTACTGCAGATAAGCTGTTAAATGACAGCAAATCTTTGTTTTTACTAAAGAAAAAAAAATTAACAAAATCTTATTTTATCAGATCAATTTGAAATAGCAATATTTTTTCATGATAGAAAAACCATCTAAAACAAGAGAGAATTTCTTGTTTTATTTTCATACTTGATAAAAAAAAAAATCTTGTTTTGATATTTTTTTCTGTGGATTTTGAAGTGTGTCCACAAAAACAGTGCATTGTCTCTGAATTAACAGAAACGTTTCATGTTTCTAGATCTTAGATGTGTCTGAGTTGCACGCAGCCATTTTTTCTTTTTTCTTTTATGCATCCTATTTATTGTTGTTTAAATATGTAAAATAATATTCAGTTAGTGCAAACAGAAACAATTGTGATGTCAAATGGTACAATAGCGTCCTCTAGAGGCTGAAATTTTGCATCACATCGCACAAAATCAAACGTCACACGTGATGGTAAATGCAAACGTCAGGGTCTTTCTGCTTTCGCAGCTGAAGCTGAAATTTAAATGAAGTGAAATATAAAACCTGTGTGTGCTGTGGAGCAGCGATCAGACCAACAATCTGACTTCCACCAAAGTCTCTAAACATGTCAGCACATGGACTGAAGTTACTGGTGTTGAACTATTCATCTGTTTTATATCTATACTTACTGTGACTTGTTTAATAAGTATTACACGTGTTTGTTAATAAAAGTATATTCTCCACATGCTCATGAAGCTCTGCTTTGGTTTTTATATGTGTGTGTGAGTGCACTGCAGTTAAGAGCTTCTGTAAATGCACTCAGTCCTTTGGTTCCCAGATAGGGCTTTCAGAGGGACATGCATCATGCTGTCAGCTCTGTGAGGCTCTGTGAGGCAATTTTATTTTACATATTTCAGATTATATATTGAAATTTTACAAAAATATTTAATCTGACTCTCATACATTTTCTTTGTCTCATAACTTTATTGCTTTCAGATACTTTGATTATTTTACTCTGCTACTTTGTAACCTAGTTTTTAATTTCATAATATGTCTCATAGTTTGAATTAGTTGATTCATCATTCTGACTTTTAATCTCATAATTGTAATTTAGCATTTTGATTTTTTTCTGCGTTATTACTAATAACGTTTACAATATTGTTTAAGTCTAAAAATATTTTAAGAAATATTTTTTTATTGGCGTCAACGAGCTTCCATACATTACGAAAAACATGTCCTTGAGCAGAGGTAATTTAATTTGAAAGTTCACGCCCTGTTTGTGGCGCTTTTCCGCTGACCACGTGACTGACGGACAGCGGGGATCTGGGTGAGGTCCCAGCCTATGACGTGGGCGCGTAAACACGGGAAAGGGCGAACACGGACATCGGTGTGTGTGGTCGATCGATCCGGATGAGTCCGGTGGTCTGACAGTGATCTGGGGTCTACTGAAAACATCAAAGGGGATCAGCTGGGCTTCATTTTGCAGCGTGTGGTTGGGCGGAGGAAGGATGCGTTGCCTGGTAACAGAGAACGGAGTGAGGATGAAAGCAGGCCAACCGTCGCTCTGAGTGAACGTCTTCCGCCGTAACGGTCCACATTTTCTTCTTTTAACAGTTCGGTTTAAATCTATTGTATCGAACCAGCAGCCTTTTAACTGATCAGCGGATAAAGGTGGTGATGCCTGAAGAATACACCGTGTACTGACCTCATTACACGCTGGGCATTTAAGATTTTTACGACATTTTAAAGCTGTAATACGCCTTTAAGAGGCTACATGAGGGATGCTTTAACCCCAACGGTCGTTTTAACACGTTTAAGGCTAATATACCTAATTAATATGGATGGATACAGTGGTGGTCCCTAAAGCCCTTAAGATATTAAACTTATGTGTTTTTTGGTATAATAGGGATCACATAGTGCACTGTTTACCAAAATATTACCCACAGATTTCAGTTTATTTGAGTTTTAGTGCTATAAATCAGTCTAACTTCAAGAGTAGGACCCATAAATATATTACTTTTTACTTATTTAAACATAAGCTAGATTTTTTTAAATGTATTCTATCAGTTCTAATTTGGCAAAATACAAACTTTGTATGCAGTTAGTGGAGATTTTAAGTCCAAGGTTGCGTTTTACAAAGTTTTATTGATATTTTATTGGCTTTTACTGACAGAATAAATAAATATAAGGCAGTTTTCTCCGCTCAGCACTAGTGTCATACTTTAGTTTGTTTATGGGCTAATTAACAGGTGTTTTAAATACTAAAAACTCCAATTTGAAAGATTGTGTGGAGGGTTTTTCACAGAGATATTCTCCAGAAATGTCTGTTTATCTGGATGGAATCAGTGCCAGCTTGCAGAGTGTTAAGTTGTTAAGTAAGCACAAGTCAAATTACACATCCTTTTGTCATTATTAATCCAGACAAATGCCATCATAAACTAAATCTGTGCTCTTTTTGTGCAGTTTGCTAAGACTTTTATGCAATCATTTGCTCAAAATTGTGATTTTCAGGTCAAATAAAGAGTGTGTAATGAAATGAACGGGTTAATTACACATGCTGCAGCAATTTTAATTGTCCGCCTTAACAACCTGCCTGTGGTCTGTGGTTTAGGATGCGTGCCTGTAGTCTGCGTTGAGGGTGAAGCTGCCGTCATGCCGTGTACATGTGCAGAGTGGAGGAGGTGGATCCGCCCGCTGGTTCTGGTGCTTTATGCCCTCCTGCTGGTTGCTGTTCTGCCGCTCTGCATCTGGGAGCTGCAGAAGGACAAAGTACTGACACCTCCACCTGTGCTCATCTGTGGACCAAACATAGTCGCATGATCTTGTAGCCCCCTGTTCATGCTGTAATAAGCAGACTGTATATAAAAGATGGACTCATCTTTAGTAGTTTATCTGTTTTTTATCTTTAATGTATAAAAAGGGTGGAGTTTTATTTATGCAGTGTTCTCACTGCACAAAAAAACACAACAGCCCTGCAGTGACTAACTGTGATGTTGCAGGAAGGATGTTGGATACACTTTAAAGCCTGTGGTCTGTGTCTGCGTGCAGGTCGGCACTCACAGTAAAGCCTGGTTCATCGCTGGCGTCTTTGTGTTTCTGACCATCCCGATCTCGCTGTGGGGGATCCTGCAGCACATGGTGCACTACACACAGCCTGAGCTGCAGAAGCCCATCATCAGGTAAACACACACACACGCACTTCAGTTCTGTCTTCAAACACTCTAAATGTCTCCACAGATACACTGAAGCAGGTCTGACAGAGTCTGACTTTAGGACTGTTGTATTTGACGTCAGCAACGAGGCGTCAGGTGTAAAAATGAAATAAGCTGCAGATTTCAAGCTGGATGCTGAAGTTGAAGGAAAAAGCACAAAGTGGGTATTTTGTGCCTAAAAGCCTACTCTTGTTGGTAGCTATTAAATTTAATCTAATTTGAAAAGTCTAAAATTAGCTTCAGCAGTGAAGCTCTGAGGATGTTTTCCTCCATCTGTTATGCTGGGAACACTTCAGAAAGGCCAATGTGAGCAGCAGGGATGATTACAGCAAGATAAACCTGCCTCAGCATTTGATTTTTAATTAAAACAAACTTGGAACATTTATGAGTCTGCCTTTCAAAATAAAAGTCTAAATCCAAATGTATCAGTAGATGTGAAATTGTTAGAATTACTTACTCCACACTATATTAAGATTTTTTTAGTCAAACAGGAGTTTGAAAAAAAAATGATAAGAACAACTCTGAGCAGAGCTGCTGGTCTCCAGAGCTTGCAGTGGTTGGACTATGTGGCATAACTTACACAGACTGTATATAAACGTTGGATGTAGCCACTTTGACTTCACCCACTATTTTTTAATCTCTTGTTCTGAAGCGTTAACTTTAGCATTATGGTTGTTGCCATGTTGTTTTTGGGACTATAAGTGGCTGTGTGATGTTTAGTGGAGTGCTAACTTATGAGCTAAAGTTAGCTTGCTCTGTCTCTTTTCAACAGGATACTGTGGATGGTGCCGATCTACAGTTTGGACAGTGTGAGTCATTGTTACACACAAACGAACACAGACATCCAGCGACACAGACCCTTCAGTATTTTCTTCCTTTGCCGTGTTTATAACTCTTTTACACTTAATGAAATTCATCAAATTCTTTCCCTCATGTGACCTTTATGATTTCTGCTTGTTGAACGTCTTTCAGTGGCTGGCCCTGCGATATCCCAACCTGGCCATCTACGTGGACACGTGCAGGGAGTGCTACGAGGCCTACGTCATTTACAACTTCCTGGTTTTCCTGCTGAACTTCCTGAGTAACCAGTACCCCAGCCTGGTGTTAATGCTGGAGGTCCAGCAGCAGCAGCCACATCTGCCCCCGCTGTGCTGCTGCCCACCATGGCCCATGGGAGAGTAAGAAGAGGGAGGTCACAGAGAGGGAGTTCAAAGTGTGTGATGAATGGATGCATGTTAAGTTTTTTCTCTCTCTGTCAGGGTGCTGCTGTTCAGGTGTAAGCTGGGAGTCCTGCAGTACACTGTGGTCAGACCAGTTACCACAGTGATAGCGCTGTGAGTTTTGTGCTATAACTGTAATGTTTTATAGCCCAATGTTTGTAACTGTAGCTGTAATACTTGATGTTGATTCCAGCTATTGGCTGTAGTCTTTCTGTTAGCTGTTGAAATATATCTATTTTTTCCAACATGATTAGTAATGCAGGATGAAACCTCTCCTTGTGTTTAGTGTGATAATTCAATCACTGCTAACCTACTTAGAGCAGCCGTGGCCCATTTTATCACCTAAAACTCTCCTGTGGTCCAAACAGACTTTTACTCAGAGCTGTGCTCATCACATGAGCCTAACAGGAAGTATTTTCTTTACTGCGTTTTCACTGATCTTCTGCTTGTTAAGGCTGTACAGAATCCTGCTGTTAGCAACCATGACATTTTTATTCAAACCTCATTCAACAGTTTTGATTTATAAGTGAAACAAAATGTTTTCATTATATATTATTTTATAAACATCACTGTCTTGATATTTTTACTTGAACTAGAAAATAATGTTCAAAATCAGTAATATTTAAAAAAAAACCAGAATGAAAATCACCTCTGACTTGACTGAAAATGAAAATAAAAGCCGTTTTTTTCTACTGTAAAATTTACAGTAACTTGTTTTTCCCACGTATGTATTCACAGCGATATCCACATGGAACAGTAGAGTACTGTACACCATTTTCTTTATTTTTCTACCTCAGTTTGGGAAAGTGTAGATGTTTTTATATGTTTTGTAATCTGAGAGCAAACTGAAAAAACAGTGAAGTTTGTGACCTGCTAAAGTGACTGATTGCTTTTGTGTGCAGCATCTGTCAGCTCTGTGGGGTTTATGATGAAGCAAACTTCAGCTTCAGAAACGCCTGGTCCTACCTGGTCATAATCAACAACATATCACAGCTGGTAAAGACTCAGCGTCATCATCACAGAGCAGCAGTTTCGCATTCCCAGTGTGTCAAATACACCTGTTTCTGGTTGTTAGCACACCTGGTTACATCTGGATTATTGTGGGGTTTTTTGTATTTGAACATCTGGTATGAGACTGCATTACATCAGAGCATGTAGTACAAACATTAGCCCCCAGCCCGAAACTTACCTGAACCCTGTTTAACCTTTACACAGTTTTTTTTAAGCCAGTATCCTTCAGAAAAAGTGAAAACTGATCGCTGAGGCTTTTTTTTTTAGGTTATCTCAGTTAATACTAAATTTAAAATCTATGATTTCTGTGAACAAGAGATCAAGTAAAATTCCAAAATTATATTTTTGTTTCTTTCTCTGCAGTTTGCCATGTATTGTCTGGTGTTGCTCTATCGAGCTCTCAGGGAGGAGCTGATGCCCATCAGGCCTGTGGGGAAGTTCCTCTGTGTCAAACTGGTCGTGTTCGTCTCCTTCTGGTAAGAATGGGAGTGTGATTGTAATAGCTTTGGGTTTTGAGCCGTTTCATTTTTCCCTTTAAACAGATGCAGTGCTGATACATTCATTTTGTCTCCAGGCAGGCAGTTTTAATAGCACTGCTGGTGAAGGTCGGTGTGATCTCTGACAAACACACCTGGGACTGGGACAGCGTGGAGGCCGTGGCTACTGGTCTGCAGGTACAGATCATACTGCTGCATCAGTCAGCTGACCTTTGATTTATTTGTCTTCATGTTTAGATAACAGGTGAGATTTCCTGGACTTTTAGCAGAGATTAAAATTTAGCAACGTTCAGCTTTCTGTACAGATTAGAAGACAAATGAACTAAAAACAGTAAAAGCGATGAAAATAAATGCCACAGTGTTCAGATAAAGCATGAAAACTGAGTAGCAGAATAAAAAGAGGACTTTAATGACACTTGCTGATGGGTGCTGCAGAAAAACTGGCAAAAAACCAACAATAGCCCAAACATCAAGGAGTTGAACTAAAAATGCAAAAAATGAAGTATCACACCAAAAACAGAAGCAAAGTCACAAAATAATATGGAGAATTAGGTGAAATGAAGTACTGTAAACATCATTAGTGTGATATTAGGATCACACTCAGCAGCAGTGCAGGGTTTCCTAAGGCACTTTGTGAAAACAGTAAGGTACACTGAAAACTTTGAGGGTCCAGGAAGAAGAAGAAGAAGACTGAGCAGCAGGGAGGGATTTAAACAGGTACATCCTCGAAATATGACAGAAAAGCTGCCTGATATCAGACAGAACTCTGACTCTCACATCTGGAATCAAACCAACACAAAAGATGATGGAAAAGTAAACCATTCAGTACAAATTTGTATATATTTCTGGTCTTTCTGCATGAATTGATGGAACAGCTAAAACGAAACAAGATGAAACATCAGAAAAACTGACTTCTTAAGGTGAAATGACTGCAAGAGGCACACAAAAACACAAGGCACAAAATAACGAAATAAATTTTTTATTAAAACAGTTAAACACATTTTACGCTGCTGTTTCTATTCTGAAAGATAACTGAGTTTTTACTCATATAGGACTTCATCATCTGCATAGAGATGTTTCTGGCTGCCATCGCTCACCACTATACCTTCACCTACAAGCCCTATGTACAGGTAACCTTATCTATCTATCTATCTATCTATCTATCTATCTATCTATCTATCTATCTATCTATCTATCTATCTATCTATCTATCTATCTATCTATCTATCTATCTGTTTCTGTCCATCAGGAAGCAGAGGAGGGGTCGTGTTTTGACAGCTTTTTGGCCATGTGGGATTTCTCTGATATCAGAGCTGATGTCAGTGAGCAGGTCCGCCATGTCGGTGAGTGTCTGACTCAGAAATCATCACAGTATGTGGAAATGACACTGAAGCAGTTTGTTGAGGAACACATCAGTGATTGGAAATGGGGCTAAACTGCTTTTGGTGCTACTGTTCTCTCTGTTTTAGATGTTCTTACAGTTTTTCTCAGTTGCTTTGGTGCATTCCTCAGAACACCATTAACATTTGCACAGCAGTTAGTGCATTTCCCAAAA